CAGCTTGAAGGGTTGTACTCATGCATGTGGGGTGCATGCTTTCATGCTGTTTCCACCAAATTCTCACTCTGCCATCTGCATGATGCAACTGGAAACATGATTCATCAGACCACATGACTTTTTTCCAATGCTCAACTGTCCAATCCTTGTGTTCCTGTGCGAATTGAAGACGTTTTATCATGGTAACTGCAGACAGCAAAGGTGTTCGAACAGGCCTTCGGCTGTTTTGCTGATACTTACTTGCTCCATGGCTCCGAGCGCCAACAATCATCCCACGTTCAAAGGCTGTTAAATTGTGTTGTTTACCCATATCTTCAGAAAAAAAATCACTTCTACTGTCCTGGTAAACAACCGCTTCCCTATTTATAATGAATTGTCTGGCTCTCTAGCAATTTCAGCGCGAAATTATAGCTAATTTGCCTACAAACGTCAGGTGGTCATAATATTCTGGCCACTCAGTGTATATATATATACTTAAAAAAAAGAAAAATTGTTCCCTTAATACATGTGGTATACTTGATCTTATATGGTTGTTTGGAAGACAGCACTCAAAAAAGTGTCTAAACTAAAAACTTTGTTAAGAACAGGAAATAGAGTTCAGAGTGAAAAAAAGCAAATTGCAAAAGCATCTTATTTTAGTAGCTACCGACTTTTAATACAATTTGCTTCCATGAAAAATTTTCTGATAAAGTGTAAAACGAAACTACCCTTGAATAATAGAGTAAAAATAAGTAAATATGTACCATTTGTTTTATACTTATTATGTGCTTATTCCTGTTTAGTACTTTATAGGCAATGACTTGTTTACTTATAATGACAACTCTATATAATGTGGATACAATCATTTCCTCCATGTGGTAGGTAAAGAGACTGAGAATAAGATGGAGAAAAAAAATTAATATGCATTCATTGAAGGAAAATGAAAAGATAAAACTATAAAAAGAAAATGAAAATACTAGAAATAATTCCATTTTAAATCAAAGTTAATTGTTTGAGATCTGGAATTCACCTATTCTAATTCTAACATAGTTTGAAGAAAATGAACCTTGATGGGGATTAATAATTGACTTCAAGAGGTTTACCAAGTAATGGCTATCCACAGAAAAGGAAGACTGGCCAGTGGAGCACATTCTGAGTTCATTTCCCATGAGGCGCTAGGGAATAATATAAGCAAATAAAATATATGGATGCCACAAACCCACAGCAAAATAAAAACTGCAATGCCCCTCCTGTCAAACTCTCCTTGTTCTGTTAGTGTTTTTTCCTCAGTTAAAAAAGAATTGAAAATGTGGGCACAGAATTTGTCAAAGTGTTTAGAAACCCCCTACTGCATGACTAGCATGTGTATTAACTGCAAAATGAGTAGGCAGTAGCAGAAATCCAACTTTAAGTCATGAAAGTGGTCTATTCAGTCCATCCCTGGTGCTTTAAACTACCAGAACAGTTGAACCTGCCCTTTGACCTGAAATTTCTAATAGAATCAAGATGTTTCTAAAAGTGTTCTGCTGTGGAATTAGAGCTTCAAGAAACAGTAAGACCACCTCCTCTGTCCCCTTTCCCCTTCTGAGTAAATTTCAATAACAGGAGGCAAATATCCAAGGCAAATGGAGCTCAATAGCCTTTTGATAATTCCTGAATCCTTGAGAACAACACATTAGCTTTCTATCACTAGTCAATAAGAGATATAATCAATGTTGGAACGAAGATGGTTAACAATTTAAGAGACTCCTATATATGTGTATGTGTTTAACAGAAATGCAAAACACAAAAGAAGTAAGAATGAAGGGATGTTACCAAGGTTTTACTTTTCTCTCTTACTCCAACTGGGTATTTTCATGTTTCATGAATTGCACAATCCTGAAAACATCAGGAAAGATCAGATAAAAGAATGAGATTAGTAGCTTTAGGCATATTATTTATGGTCATAGACATGTAATCATAGTTTATTCCAATTTTAAGATAAATCTAAAATCTATATACTTAAAAAAATTAAATTTATTCAGGTAACATTGGTTGATAAAATTACATAAATTTTAGGTGTACAACTTAATAATACAACTTCTGTATATACTCTATTGTGTGCTCACCATCCAAAGCCTAATACCCTTCTGTCACCTATATTTGACCCCTTTTACCCTCTTTGCCCTCTCCTCATCTCTTTTCTCTCTTGGTAACCACCAT